TTTTTTTTTTTTTAGAAGACGTGCATTTTAAAGACTTAAAATTGACAGAACCGATGAGGGATGAATCGGACTTTCAGGTCAAATGGATTGCGTAAATAGAACTGTAGAAATATATAAACTGTAACCGTATTTCTCAAGGGGGAACTATTATTCTTGAAGCATATATATCAATATTTAACTAGGGAGAACAATTTATGTATATTTGTGTCTTTTTCTTTTTGTATGCACAATTATATATATTTTATTTTATTTATTTTATGCCTTGTTTAGTTCTCTTTTTATTTTATTTTTTGTTTTTTGGAATTGTATTTTAATGTTGTGAATAAAATAAAAATGTGTTGAATGAAAAAATATCCCTCTCTGATCTCAGGAATATTAATGAACATGAAAGGTATTATTTATTATAATAGTTTGTTTTTCCTTTTTATAGGTCAGATTGTCTTTCTGAGGATCTTGACAGACTCAGGCCTAGGTTCGTAAAAGAAGTACTAGAAAAATGCATGAGGTGAGTGAGAGATATCAGAATTTGTATACATATGTACCCACCATGCTGTGTCCATTAGGATAAGCAGGAACCAAGAAAGCATACAAAAAGAGTAAGCAAAAGAAATTAAAGACATGGAGGAATAAAAAGAAGAGGAAGGATTCCAAAAATTATTTACACCAATATTCACTATGTCGCAGAGACCACTTTCAATCTATCAGTTTGCTCTGTCTCATCCAGTTGCAGTTACTCAGTCTTTCTGTTCACTTTTCTTTCCTATATTTTTTTGCAGTTCAGACCTCATTAATTCTCTTTGTCCAAATCCTCTCCACACATTTATTTTGCAATCACTAGTTTTGTGTTCATTCTGTCTTGTAGTCCGTCTGCACTCCTTCAGCATACAGCCATTTATGACCCTATTCTTGTTTTGCGACGTACACACTTCTTATACAATCAATTTTCACTGCAGTCAATTTATTTTTATGCTTCTCCTGAATGGGCCAAAGCCATTTAAACATGTTTTGATATGATCTGACACAAATGTAGTCTTATTTTAAAAACGTGCACTTGTCACTCTAGCCATGTTTTTGGAGAACCTATGCTGAAATGGTTACAAAAACAAAGGAATGTATTAAACGCAGGAAACAATGTCTGTGAAAAAATCTCAGACTAACTCCACCCTAATTCACTGGGATGTGAGAAGGAAGAGAAAACATAGTTAATTTTTTGCTACTATAGCTTATATCAGTGTTTTTCAACCGGGGCAACTTAGCTCCCCATCCCACATCCAGCATAGAATTCCCAGAATTCCCTTACCAGCATAGCTTCCCATAGCTGACTGAGGAATCCTGGAATTGAAGTCTACATGTTTTCAAGCACCCAAGGCTCAGAAACATTGGCATATATCAATAAAGTATAGTTCAAATCAAACTTGTGGAGTTGGCTTCCTGACTTGGTTTAACTCAAAGGACATCGACTTGAAAACTTCCTTCTCTTTATAAAGAGAACAGAGTCTTATCTAGGATTCTAGTAATGGCATCCAATTCTCAGGGCATCCCACTGTCCACAGCTTTGTTGAAATATCACCACGTGGATTTGCAGTGAACTGATCTGCACAATACCACGATAAAACTAACCTGGAAATTAGGTCAAGAGTTGTCTCAGCCAGCCACAGCACAGCAGCTAGCAGCTCAGATAATATTTGTGCCCTCTCTTGGGAATTTAAGAGAGATTTGGAGAAGACCAGAATTAATTCCTGACTTTCAAAAGTCAGTGTGAGTTCTTTCTGGTAGATTGACCAGTTGAATTTGAGTTTGCCAAAAGAAGGGGTGGCCAAAATGCGGTAGCCATATTGAAGCCAATAACCCAGTACTGAGCAATGAAAAGAATTATAATGTTAAATTATAGCATAGGCACAGCCCTCGTTCTTCTGAAGAACTTATTATGAATGTTGTTCAATTTCAGTGAACAGACATCAGCTGTGGGGTGCTTTACCAGTGCATGTATCTTTTACTGAATGATGAGCAAGAGCAACTTTCTTCAAAATACTTTTTTTCCCCTTCTTTTTTCAGGCTTTCCTACCATCAGCGAATAATAGATATTGTTCCTGCTAGTTTTTCAGTCTTGACTCCTGCAAATCCAATGTGTATTTATAAATATGGAGAAGAAAGCAACAGTATGTTGAGAGTATATAATTTACATTTTAAGATATAAAAGATGCATTTGCTGCTGTTGGTGGGAAATGATCTGGGGGGGGGAGGCAATAATAAATCCCTTTAAAGAAAACTGCTATAAACATGTGTAGCTTTGAGAAACACCCAAGGGCCATCCAAAGCCCTAGTGGGCAAGATGACACAAGGGGACATTGCTTCAAGATGTGGCTTCTTATCTTCTGAAACGTTCCTCAAGATATGTAAAACCTTCTACTATGTTGCAGGCAGTCTTTTATATAAAAGTGTCCAATCTTCAAAGATGGTAACTTTGCTTCTTCCTATCTTTTTAGAATCTCTTCCTGGATACAGCGTTGCACTCTCCTTAAACGTTGCCATCAAAAATAAAGCAAGTAATGATGAAATTTTCACCATTTTGAAGGATGTGCCCAATCCTAATCAGGATAACGATGGTAAGCCTGTCTAATATTTACTGTGTCCCATTCCTAATGTTCATTTATGGAAACATTGCAAAACCTCAGAGAAATTAGCCGTGTTTAAGCATATCTGGTACATGGTTTTGATTGTTATGCACTTAGACAGAATATATACTAACTCAGTGGAATTTCTTTTGTCCCTGACTTTTAGCATCTTACCTCCACCCCATATATGCCAACAAACAAATATTCTTCTTGTTTGAAACTGGTATACAGTATGCCTAAATATATGAGATGGCATTATTGTTGATACGGTTAATATCAAATTTATTCCAAACATCATACTTACAGGCAGAATTTCTGTAAGATTCTTTACTACAGGTTATTATTCCAGACTTAAAGCCTGGATTAATACACCAGTAGTAAAGCATCTTACAGAAATTCTATCTGTGAGTATAATGTTTGGAGTAAAATTTGATATTAATATATTATTATATTAATTATAGCAATATATTATATTAATAATAATAATAATTGATACTATTCCAGATCTGCTCAAAAAGGGGGGGGTCCAATGGCTCAGCAGTTAAAGACACTGAGTTTGTCAGCTGGAGAGCTGACAGCCTGGGTTTGAGACCAGAGACACGCGCAATGGGGTGAGCTCCTGTTACTTGCCCTAGCTGCTGCCCACCTGGCAGTTTGAAAGCCTGCAAATGCGACTAGATTAATAGGTATCACTTTGGCGGGAAAGTAACAGCGTTCTGTGCGCTTTTGGCATATAGCTATGCAGGCCACATGACCATAGAAAATGTCTTCGGACTACGCTGGCTTCCTCGCCAAGAAACGGAGATGAGGAGGCTAAAACATATAAGGAACGGTTGCTGGAATTGGGTATGTCTAGTTTAACGAAGAGAAGGACGAGGGGGGACATGATAGAAGTGTTCCAATATCTCAGGGGCTGCCACAAAGAAGAGGGAGTCAAGCTATTCTCCAAAGCGTCTGAAGGCAGGACAAGAAGCAACGGGTGGAAACTAATCAAGGAGGGAAGCAATCTAGAACTAAGGAGAAATTTCCTGACAGCTAGAACAATTAATCAGTAGAACAACCTGCCTCCAGAAGCTGTGAATGCTCCAACACTGGAAGTTTTTAAGAAGAGACTGGACAGCCATTTGTCTGAAATGGTATAGGGTTTCCTGCCTGAGCAGGGGGTTGGACTAGATGACCTCCAAGGTCCCTTCCAACACCATCATCATCATCACCACTATTATTATTATTATTATTATTATTATTATTATTATTATTATTATTATTATTATTACGCCCTAGAGTGGGACACGACTGACAGGGAAAGTTTTTACCTTTTTTTTTAATTGCTAAAATGAGTCATTCTTTTTCAAAAGATTGCTGGAAAGTAATGCACAGATTGGATCACCCTTTTTAATGTTGTAGAAACATTTTAAAACTTAATAATTCTGGAAAATGGGTTTTAATAGAATGGGACATTTTTTGAAACTCGTAATTTGACTTAATATTAAATTGAACTAAACTATACATCCTTTCAAAAAAAAAAATTGAATCGGCATTATATGAACAGCTGAATGGATCTGAGACGTTTTTATTGGAAAAGATCAGAAGCACAGCTAAATAAATTATGAGAGTGTGCCTTGATGTCCAGAATAATCTCATATTTGAAAAGTAAATCTGATGTAGAATTGATGTAGAGTTTAATTATAATTGGAAACCATTCTTGGATTGTACTTTTATACATGGATTTGTTCCACATCCAAATTTTTCATATGCATAGGGTTTATGTCTTACTCTATCTGATTTTTTATTATCTGTAGGGAGATTTTATCCAGGATGATCTGTCCCTTCAAGTTTTCAAATGGTGCATCCACCACCATTATAACTGAGTCCATCCATGTTACTTCTGTCCATCTTTTTCCTTCCATCTTTCCTCAGCCTTAAAGTCTTAACCAGAAGACTAGGTCTTCGCATAATGGATCCAAAGTACGGATATGATCTTTAACCAATATTGATTAATGTGCTTATTGTTTTGTTAGTTATTAGTACTGTGCTAACCAAGCATTTTCAACTTAAAACCTAATAAGGGATATTTGGTTTTTGTTTAAAAAATGGATATGATAAGAAAAAAGCCCTTTATGAAATTTCCTCGCCATTTTACTTTTTTTTTTTTTTCAAAAAAGACAGAAATTCTCAGTCTTTCTCAGCCTTCCATAAATGCCCATATTGTTTACAGGAATTCAAACTTGTTTGTAACTTTGTTTTCCAGATGAAGGCTTCTCATTCAATCCTTTAAAAATAGAAGTTTTTGTCCAGGCACTATTGCACTTAGCGTCAAAGTCATTCAGTCACTCCTTCAGTGCTCTGGGAAAGTAAGTATTTATCATTAAGTATATTACTCTGTCAGTGCGTTCATATTGTTGCCATTTTATTTTTATTTGTCTTGTAACGTTACGAAAAAGAGGCCAGAAGCAAATAAGATTTTTATTTATTTAATGACTGCGTTTTAAAAAAATAGCTATATTATCTACTTCTCTTTAAAATGTCTATGAAGATTCTCAGTCATCCAGGTCATGGTTGTCCCAAAGATGCTTTTTCAAAAGACGAATGGACTTTCTTGGCTTTTTCCCTGAAGACATTGTGCTTTTCACCCAAGAAGCTTCTTCAGTTCTGACTGGTTCAGTTGAAACTGAAGACACTTCTTGGATGAGACCCGAAACGACTTCAAGGAAAAACAAAGGAAGTCCAGCTACCTTTTGAAAAAGCACTTCTCTTTAACTTGCAATTTAAAATAGGCAGATTCCTATATAGTCCCTGATACTTGGGTACTTCTGCTTAGTTTTGCATGTCAGGAGCTTCCTCTTAAACTGCAGCATCCACAAAAAGTTCATCAGTCCTTTCTCACCTCCTTGTGATCTGCAGCACAACATTATCCCCGTATACATCTAGGTCTCAAGATACAGCCTAACAAGAATGACCAATGGAGGCCCGGGAGAAAGAGAGGGGAAATCCAAAAGTTTACTGCTGTGCATTAGATTTTGCAGTGGTGTAGTCAGCCTGGACATTGGCAAAATTAAAAGCAACCTCTCTGAAGAAAAAGTTGATGACTGGGTCCAATTATACAATGAGAAAATGTCAGCCCCATGATGTAAACCATGATGAAATCAACTCAAATCAGAAGACCAAGCTCCTTTTGTTAAGGTTGGTTATAGTAACAGAACCTTGGGAGTCTGATTGTGCTTTACCTCCTCTGCCTCTTAGCCTCCTGTGACTGAGGGAGGTGTCTTGACTGTGTCTAGTTCACTTTAGGATAAAGGCAGGGAGGTAGGGAAGACACATTTAGAGTTGCAAGATCCTGTTACTTTAACCCGATAACAAAAGTAGTATTAACATTCATGACTTTGCATTGAAGTCTTGGCTACCTCAAAGGGCTGGAACAAACCTTCTGTGAGACTTGGGCTTCACTTCGTTGCTTTCTCTTATCTCTGACTCAACTACAGTGAGAGAGAGGGGGGCGGGGTTTAATGGTGGTATAGATTTTGGGGAAGCGGTGGGTTCCATAAATCACTAAACCCCAACTAAATATGTAGCTAGTCAAGATAGCGGGAAGAATGGCTGTGTCACAGAGCTCTTTGTCAGCCTGTTGATACTGCTAGTTTTTTAATCTAAAAATTCAGAGTTCAGAATGATCTTGGGAGACTAGACCAGTCCACTTCTCTTTCTCTCATTTTTGACATTTCAATCCATGTTGCATTATGAGGTTACGTAAGAAGTGACCTGTATGAATGAATGACATGTATTCCTTAACGCTCATGGGTTATTCACTTCTGTTCTAATAAGATTTCGAGAAATCCTCAAAACTCTGGCTGAAAGTGATGAAGGAAAGCTTCACGTTCTCAGAATTATGTATGAAGTATGGAAAAATCATCCTCAGGTAAAAATGAATATTTATATTAGACTTCCTTCCTTCCTTCCTTCCTTCCTTCCATCCATCCATCCATCCATCCATCCATCCATCCATCCATCCATCCATCCATCTTCCTTCCCTCCCTCAGCAATTCCTGCTTTAGGTAGGAGAAAAGTGTGTTCCATCTTTTTAATTTAAACCTCCTTTATTGAGTTAATTTAGTTTATGTTGCTGAACAAGACCTGAAACTTTTTTCTTTTTGTATCTATTGTTTCATAAGATTATAACCAGAGAAATTGTATACATCTATATGGCAGTTCTTAATCTCCTCCCAAAGCTAGCTCAATCACGGACAGTCATTCTCTGGGCCCAATCAAGGAAAGAGTGGACAGAAACATTGACAGAAATCTCTGTGCCTTTTAGCAGGAATGGAG